TGCATGTATTATAGATCAATTTGAGGAAGTTCAAGTTACATCAGAAGATATTATTATGACATCTGGATGTGCTGGTGCATGTAATGTATTTTTAAAAACAATATTAGACCCAGGAGATGAAGTTATTATTTTCTCACCATATTTTGTAGAATATATTTTTTATATTCAAAATTATGGAGGAATTGCTATTGAAGTTCCAACAAGATTTGAAGACAAATGGCAAATTAACAAACAACTATTCGAACAAAAATTAAGTAATAAAACTCGTTGTGTAATATTTAATTCTCCTAATAATCCAACTGGAGTATCTTATACTCAAGAAAGTATTGATTGTATATTAAACATAATTAGAGAATATTCAATAAAAATTAATAGACCAATTTGGGTATTAAATGATGCAGTTTATTGTCGAGTAGTAGAACCAAATATTCATATTCATTCAATATTTCATTATAGATATTCTGCTATTGCATATTCTCTTTCTAAAGATGTTTCTATTCCTGGAGAAAGAATTGGATGTCTTGCAGTTAATCCAAATATACCAAATCATAACCAAATTGTTAATGCATTAGCAACAACAAATGAAATACTTGGTTTTGTTCATACCAATAAACTTCAAATGAGGATTATTCCATTAATTCAATATGCAACAGTTGATATAAATTTGTATAACAAATCAAGACAATTAATGTGTCAATGTTTAGATGATTTAAGAATTCAATATATTCGTCCAGAAGGTACCTTTTTTATCTTTCCAAAAGTTGAAGCTTCTTTAGATGAATGGGAGTTTTGTAGAACTTTTGCAGAAAATGGAATTGTGACAGTTCCAGGAAGTGGATTTGGGTGTAAAGGGTTTTATAGAATTTCAGTTTGTCAAACTCCAGAATATATTCAATCAATAATTCCAAAATTTAAAGAAGCATTTAATAAAACAGTAAATCAATTATATAAAAAAAGAACAATAAAATAATTAATAATTGAATTTAAAAAAAAGTAATAAATATTTAAATTAAAAATGAAAGATTAATATTTTTTATAAAATAAAAATACAATTGAAATACATTTAATAAAATTTAATAATCAATTCTTACTTTCTTCTCTATTAAAGCATAAAACTGTGCTGTTATAGGATAATCACTTTTTAAGAAACTTAAAATTAACATCATTTCATCAGCTGAATTACATTGAAAAAGTTCTTCTAATTCAGTAAGAACTGTCATATTTATTCCTTCAGTTTTGATAATTGAAAGAACAATTCGAGCTTTTTGTTGATAATATTCAAGGAATTTACATATTTCAATAAAACTAAGAGAGAGTTGATTTGAATAATAATAATATAAAAGTCTTGTTGAAATACTTTCAGTTGTTGGACTTCTTTGTAATAATCTTAAACTTCTATCAGGAGGAATTGCAGAAATTGGAAATTGACATTGAAGTGCTTTAGCTGCAATTGATATTTGTGCTGTTGCACGATAACAAAAATGTTCAAACATTGAAGAACTTTTTGATATTGCGACTTGCATAGTTTGACAATTAATAACACAATAAGGTAATGGAATATCATAAAGAGAACGTTGTTCTAATTCAGTTAAAAAGATTGCTTTAACAAACCAATTTCTTCTTGGTACAAAGAAAGGGAAACAAGTAAATGGATTATTTGAAGTTGTTGTAAATTGAGGAGGATTTAATGAATAAAATAATGAATGAAAGAAATTTTTTGTTTTATCTGATTGAGCTAAAACAATAGTAAAATAAGTTTCTAAATGAGCAGTTAAAACCATTGAAATAAATTGAGAAGAAAAAGGATATTCATTTTTCTTTTCTTTTCTAAAGAGTGGTTTTTTTGTTATATTTATGATTTGTTGGTCAGGGTCATAAATAGGTTCAATAGGTTTATAAATACAATTTACTGCAACATCAAAACTTTCAGAAATATTTCTAATCATATCATTGATATAATCTATTGATAATTTTTTAGCATTTTCTGGTTTATAATTTTGAATTGAAATATTTCTAAAAATTATTAATGTAGCATTAAAAATCATCATATTAATTGAGTCAGTTAATAACTCTAATAATTGTTTATAAATTGATAGTCCTTTAACATTTTCAAATTTTTGCATTGTTTGTAAACAGAATTGTTGTCTTTCATAAACTTTTTTTCTATTTTCATTATCTAATTCTTCTGGTGTTTTAATTTTTTTTTCTTCATCAATTATTTGTGTTTCTATTGGAGAAGAACTTGAAATATCAGATAGAAGTGTTTCATAGTCTGTTGCTAAAGATAAATTATTAAATGAAGAACTTTGATATTGAGGTATTTCTGAAGGTTGTAAAGAAACTGATTCTTCAATTACTTCTTTATGAGGAATAGGTAATTGAATAGTAATACAAACTAAATAAAAAGGAGAAGGTGATTGATTTGAAATACGAAGAATTGGAAGATAAATTAAATGAAGAATTGTTGCTGAATTTTTTTCATAATTAAGAACAAAGGTATAAGTAATAGGAGAATGAGTTTGTATTAATTGTCCAATTTCACTTTTAAGAGCTTTAGAAAATACATTAAACCGATTAATAGTAAAACTTTGATTTTGAGATATTTTCATGAAATCTTTATATTGAAATATTGTTTCTTTATTTAAAGAAAATTGAAAATTAATTTGTGATTGTTCTGATAAATCAATGATATGAATTTGTTTTAAGTATTTACTTTTAATAACATCATCATTATTATTACCTTATTATGAATTAGTTTAAATTATTTATTCCTTTGTTTTGTTTTTATTAATAAAATAACAATAATAATAACAAACTAATTTTTATTTTACTATTCCCTAATGTCCCTGGTGTCATTTCTAATAACATTCTTAATGACGCCCATATAATTCCCCAATGTTCATATATATCTTTTGCATTACTAGAAAGTAATTGTTTAATTACTTTCATATAGTCATCATATGTTTGCTTAGTAGAATAGTCTGAAATAAAAGAACTTTGCATTTTCTTTTCAATAAATAAATATTAATTTAAGTTTTATTTAAAAAATTTATATTTTTTATTATATTACACTGATAATTAATAAAATTGGTTATTTGTTTAAAAATAAGTTACTTTAAATTTTTACTGAAACATATTTTTTTTTCTTTGGTTTTCTTATTTTTTTTTTACCTCGTTATATCTTCTTTTTTATCACTACTCCTCTCTTCTTCATTACCTTTCTCTTCTTCTTTTCATTCCTTAATAATTTTACTCTATTCTATTTTTCTAAATTTACATTATTTTGTTTTTTATTAATTAATTAAAATATGAATAATAAATAACTCTTTTTTATTTATTTCTTAGTTATATTACTTCTTTATTTCTTTTTTTTTTTGTTCACTATCAGTACTTATTAAATCTCTTTTCAGTTAGAATTTAATAAATATTGATATTATCATTGATTTAATCAATTTGATTTCATTAGTACATTAATTACTTAAAGAATGTTTCCATTAAGTATTTTTAGATAATTTGAATGTTTCATAGTTCACCCTCATTATGCAAAGTCATTAAATAAATACTATAACGTATTGTTATATTACAATACAAAAAACTGTATTTTAATTAAGTGCTATATCATTATTTATAATTTAAATTCTTATTGTATAGATTCATTTAAAAAGATGATTGAATTAATTAATTTTTCTAAAAAAAAAGAGATTCAATTAAACATTCTCTAGACTTTAAAGGAACAAAAATGTTTAAATAAAAGTTTATTTTCACATAATAACATATCAAATAATAATATTTATTTAATAATTAAATTATCTAAATATTTGTACTGTTTTAAGAATGAAATAAAAAGATAAGAAGCAATAAAATTATTAATCGTCCAAAGTTTTAAGATTAGGAGGATTAACAGAATTTATAAAAGGAATTCCAATAAACGTGTGACTCATATATTCAGAATATTGTTTACCAAATTGTTGATAAAGAGTAGCTTCTTCATAAGGAATTCTGTCAGCAAAGAAGGACCATGAAGCCCAGGCATAAAGGAGAATACAAATTGGGTTAATTAAAACGAATTGAGTGAAGATTGACCAATAGAACCAACCAAAGTAAGAACTATAATGTCAAAATAATAAGATAATTACAAATTAAAAACAAACGGATGACGTAAATATTTATAAATGAAATCATCAACCAATTTATGACTGTCTCTTGAAGAAGTTTCGATAACATGATTAAAATTACTTGCTGCATAAAACATAGCAACACTTCTAATACCTTGACCAATAACACAAATGATTAAAGCAGGAATATATATGTATGGACATGTCTTTAAATTTGGGAAGAAAAAATATTCAATCCAATATTCAGTCACAGCAAAAAATAATGCTAACAAAAACTCATTGGAATGAGTTAATAAAAATGAAGAAAAACTAACAGATTCTGGATGACAAACGGCAACATATGAGAACTCAAGAATATGAAATACCAAAAACAAAATCCCGAAGATACAAAAATTAATAAATCCAACTCCACTATATATTAATCCAATAAATAATCCAATAAATAATCCAATAATTACTCCTGTTATTACCATTACATCAATCCTTTTTTCAAATTCAGTTGGATTATGTGGTCCAATTGGTAAATAGTTTTTCATTAAATCTAATATTCTTAATTTTTAGTTTTTATAATTTATTTTTAAGAATATTCATAAACTTTAAGAAAGAAAAAAATTTATTTTTGATAAAAATGAGATTTATAATCTTAAAAAAATTTTTCTTTTAGATTAAAACAAAATTAGATTTTTCTTTGAGGTTTTTTAAAATGTTTATTAAGATAAAATAACTACTATATTCTAATTTTCATAATTATAGTATATCGAGACAATATGTCTATTCTTTATTTCACCATATAACTAATATGTAATACACCATTTTTATTATGTTGAACTGTTCATACATTTAAAAATTTTTAGAAAATATTTAAAAAAAAAACATAAAATTAAGCTAATCTTGTTTTATTTTTTGTTTGAGACGTTGATTTTGAAGAATAAAAATATCTTTTAATGTCATAGTCATAACAAATACTAATGGACCTAAAACACATCCAGTAATACCAAATACATACACTCCAAACACTACACTCAAACCAACAAAATATGGAATAATATCTGGAATAAATGAATAGAACCAACCATCAATAATAAAATATGTTACTGCATGAACACTAATAAACCATATCATTCCTGTAGTATTTCCTTGGAAAAATAATACTAAACCAGCAGGGAGCCAAACAATCATATTTGAAAAAGCTGGTAAAATTGCTAACAAAGCACAAATTATACTACAAACCATTTTATAAGGTAAATGAGCCAAAGAAAAAGTAACAAATGTTAATGTAAATTTAAAGATGAACAATAAGGAATTCATTAGAATCAAACGTAAGGAAGTAGATGCAACTCCATTTCTTATTATTTGAACTACCTCAACGTCAAAAGGAATTAGTTGAGAAATACCATTTAGAATAGTATTTTGATAAATTAAGAAATATAATAAGCTGTAGATAAATATAAAAAATGCAAATATATTATCTGTTACTGAAGAAGCTAAATTGATCAAAAAATATGGTTGAACCTGACTACTTAATAATTTTAGTCCTTGTAATACTGCAGGTTTAATTGTTTTTAAAGACAAATAATTCATAAGACCAAGTTTATCCATGTATTCTAATATTATTTGTCCACTATAACTTTCTTCAACTCTAGAAATAATTAAATTAACAGAATCTTCAGACAAATTAGTAACAAGTTTTGTTATAGTATTAATTAATTGGTGAAATTCTATTATTGATTGTTTAATTACTACAGTTGATAATAAACTTATGAGAGACAATAATATAGTTATTATCATAAATGAAGCTAATGTTCTTCTATTAACAAATAAAAAAATTGTAATAACAAGTAATGGTATTAATGTGAAAAGATTTGGTGATGATGAAATAACTAATTGGATTAATGGAGTTATTCCAATAACAAAATAAAATAAATATGAATACCAGTTTGATGGATAGATAAATTTATCAATATATTCTATTAATTTGACTAATAAATTAAATGGATAGCTTAATACAATAGCACAAAAAATAGCCCAAAAACTTTTTTATTAATATTACTCCACAAAACTAAATAAAAATGAAGCAAACAATGCTTGTCCATACAAAGTAATCATTGTATAGTCTAAGTATAACAAATATATCATAGAAAAAACTATTAATAAACAAGTAAAACATTTCATTGATTGAATTGTTATATCATTGAATGATTCATTCATCTTATTATTTATATTATTTATTCTATTCTAAGTTCTTTTTATTTTTTTTTAATTCTTTGTTATTTTTTTTATTTGGACGGTCATTAAAAGACCTGATAAATAACATAGGTAAATTATCACATCACCACACATTTATTCTTTTGTTTTTTATCACTAAAACATTGCTCTGGTTCTTTTGACTTAAGGCTTTTGGCAACTGCTGAAATAAAGAGTTCGTCAACACCATCACCTGTTAATGAAGACACAAAACAAACTTTTGCAAAACGGTATTGAAGTTTAAAACGGTCAACATTTTGTGCTTTTTGTTTATGAAATGATTCTTCAAGATCAGTTTTAGTAATGACAAGATAACGATTAGATTGAGATGGGGTATCTAAAGATTCAATCATTTCAAAAATTTTATCAGTTATCTCTTTATGCGAATCGTCATGAATAACAAAGGCAATGTCAAAGTCTTTACTTTTTGGTTTGAAATTGTTGTCATATAAAATATCACAAACTTGAAGTTCTACAACATGTCCTTCTATTTGAATTGTTCTATACATCTATATTATTAAATTTTAATTTTTTTATAAGTCTTTAGAATTATGACAAACGATATTTATTGATTCATCAATAGGATTGTATTCTTTGTTATCAAATTCTCCTTTAATATATCTATTAACTAATGACGTTCTTCCTACTCCTCTTCCACCAACCACAGCAATATTAACTTTAAACCTTGTTCAATGAATGTTTTGAAGTAATTATTTTTTCAATAATAACAAACCTATTCATAGCTTATTGTAATAAGTTATATTTATGTTTTTAGTTCTACAACTTTTTTCTAAGGAAGAGTTAGTAACTTTCAAATTCTTACTTTCTTTTGAAATTGTTCATTAAGAAAAGTATTAAACATATGTTATTTGTACCATTTTTATATTTTTTATTTTTTAATAAATATTAAAAACATAAAAATAAAACTTTGTTATTAAAAAAACATAATTCTCCTAAGAGAAACTTTTATTTAAGGCATTTAAAAAAGAAGAAAAAGAAAAAAATATGTTTCAAGATCTAAAATTTAAGTAGATTTGAGATGAAAAAGTCTGTTCATTCATCAGTAGTTAATTCACAATCACAAGGGTCTATTGTTCATGTGTTTATTCGACATGAAGGAGAGATACATTCATTTACATATTCATCTACCGTATCACCACTTGATATTATAGACAGTATTAAAAGTACACTTCATTTAACTGGAGTTTATAGTGTTGTTGTTCCAAATATTCCATTTAAGATAGTTGATTCTATGGAAGGTTCAGAAGTGAAAGAGACAGGGTTTTATAAGTCATGTATTGAATATGGAATTATCCCAGCTTTTGAACTAATTGAGAGAAGTCAAGCAGAAAAATATGAGAGTGTTGGAATATTGGCAAAATTGATGAATCAATTAAAAGAGAATTATCAGATTATTGGACAAACATATGTTGATGTACTAAACACTGACGCAGAAGAAATATTTGTGTTTAGAAGATCACTTGCAAGAACACGTGTATTATCAAGTAAAATAGAAGCTAAATACGATTCTAATTTAAAAGAAGAAAATGAATTTGCTTATACATTAAGTGAACCTAATATACCTGACACTATTAAAAGTATTGATGTTGAAATTATTGGAGAAGATTATAAAACTACAGCCATTTTCTCAATTACACCACAAGTGTTTGTTCATAGGGTTATTGACAGTGCTTTTCATGAACTAAAGAAAGCAGGAGAAGGTGCAGTTAATGGAAAGGAACCATCAGAGTATATCTTAAAAGTAGTTGGATGGGATGAATATATTGTACCACAACGTGTTAATGGAAAGAATTGGTTGTTGAGTGATTATGATTATATAAGAAGATGTGCATTACATGGAGAAGCAGTTCATTTAGAATTAGTTAAAAAAAGTAGGCTATTTTCATGTAAAATTAATGATGAAGAAAGAAAAGTTTTAAATTATCTTGACTCTTTTTTTGCATCAGAATTATGGGAAGCATTTGATGATGAAAAAAGAGTTTCACAAAGGCTTTGTACAGACCAATTAAGTGCACAAGTTGTTTCTGTAGAGAATTTATATTCTTATATTAAAACAAAAAAAGGAGATGAAGAAGAACAACAAATGATTACGGATTTTCTTTGTTATTTTAAAGTAGAGTTGTATTATGGAGAAAAGTCATTATGCCCAGCATTATATTCAACAGTTTTTGAAGTTAAAAATGGACTAGCTTCTCCTAAATGGAAATTTACTTTTGTTCAATTAATTGCTACACTCCCAGCTGAAACAAAAATGATTTATTCAGTGTATATGACTAATTCCATAGTTAATACCCAAATAGAAAAGATTGGTGAAAATGATAAATGTCTTGGAACAGTAAATACAAAAATTGTTAATTATACAAATGATTTATTAAATGGTGAACAACAATATTATTTATGGGCAAGTGAACCAAATCCAATTGCTATGTGTTGTAATGCAGTAAGTTCAAAGATGAAAGTTGTTGTTGAATTTCCATCATTAACTAAACCAATTCGAATGGACACATATATTACTAAGAAAAAAGAAATGCAAGTAGAGTTAGAACAAGAATCAGAAAAAAAGATGACTGCGGAAGAATTAGAAGCATTTAAAAAAATAGTTGATGCTGATGCTATGGCAGTATTTACCCAAGAAGAATTAAAATGTTTATGGGAAAGAAGATATTCATTATTAAAGACAAATCCACATGCACTTGCTCGTTTATTGAATTCTGTGAACTATTGCCAACCAACAGAAGTACATGAATTACATAGATTATTAAGCAAATGGCCATTATTAGACCCTCGAGAAGCTATTGAATTGCTAGATTTTAGATACCCAGATCCTCAAATAAGAGGTTTTGCTTTACGGTGCATTGATACTATGACTGATGACCAATTAGTAATGTATTTACCTCAACTGGTTCAAGCCTTAAAATTTGAGTTACATCATCATTCTACATTAGCATCATTTTTATTGGAAAGGTCATTAAAGAATAGAAGAAGAATTGGTCATAATTTGTTTTGGTTTTTAAAAGCAGAAATTCATGACGCTAGAGTTACTGGAAGATATGGTGTCTTGATGGAAGCATTCTTAAATGGATGTGGAAGATATAAAAATGAATTAGAGAAAGAGGTTACATTCCAAAATCAATTAGTTGTCATTGCTAATGAAGTAAAACGACTTGGAACAAAAGATGAACAGAAAGCTCATTTAAAGAGTTCACTAGCAAAATTAGAATATCCTGATGAAATGTCTTTACCATTAGATGCAAGATTTAGATTTAAAAAACCAGTTCCAAATACTGGAAATGTATTTAGTAGTAAAAAGAAACCATTAATGTTAGTATTGGAAAATGCAGATCCATTAGGAGAACCAATTATGGTTATTCAAAAAGTTGGAGATGATTTAAGACAAGACATCTTAACTTTACAAATGATTAGATTAATGAATACCATTTGGAAAAATAATGGTCTTGATTTATGCATGTTACCATATCTTTGTATTGCCACAGGAAATGAAATAGGAATGTTAGAACTTGTTAAAAATTCAGAAACATATGGAGCAATTATGGCTATGGATAAAAGTAAGTTTAGTGTTATTAAAGATACTGCAGTGACTACTTGGCTTAAAGAACAATGTGCCAGACCAGAAAGTCAAGTAACATTCCAAGAAGCTGTAGAGAATTTTACTTATTCATGTG